GTTTTAGTGGGTAAACAGCTTAGCTGGAGTCCCACACACACCAGAGCGACAGACCACCAGCTCTGGGAGTGCGTAAAAGAGCATTTCCCAAACCTCACCGGAAAAAAAAAAATAAAAAACAAAAAATCTTCTAGCAATTGATGTCTAACTATAAAACATTTAATATTCGTACCCGATAATCATTAAAAACTTGTTCTAAAAACGTCTTTTCGAATTGAATGCAGTTTTTCGTAGATTCAAATGCGAACATTTTTCCAATTACGACAGCCAGTGGCTATTTCTTCACCTTAAGTATTACAAAAGTTAGCAGATCAGTCATGGGAAAATAGGTTCGATGAACCATAAATTGATATAGCTGTAGTTTTTGCGTTGAAGGATTATTGGTAACTCAGTTGAGTATGAGGGGTTTAGAAACTTGAAGTTTGTTTGCTACAACATAATAATTATTTCTTCGTGCTCAACAGTGATTGATTTTTTGAGAACCGACCGTACCATGCAATTCGTCGCCTTTTGTCACGCATTTTTGGATTTGTTGATAAGTAATCTTATAATGTTTATACCTAGTTTTCACACAAGTTAACTTTGATGCTCTATTTGTTCTTCTTAATAATTGTCTTACGTTGAACATAGATACTTACAAAAAGTTGCCCCACTGTTAAAGGCAAAGTTGGTGCCTCCTAAGAACATGTACGCGTTAAACGAAGCATTTCTTTCCAAAATTTGTTTCAAGTAGGTACGAGTTTGATCGTCAGCTTTAGTGCTATGATTTGTGCCCCAAAAATCGTAAAATCCAACCCAGTATTCCATCGCCATCAATGGTCGTCCCGGTTGAAGTTCTTCAAGCTTATCAAATTGCTGATTTACGTTTTGTCCAAAATTAGCAGTTTGTAAGAATATACCCGGTAACGTGCCTGAAAGTATCATTAATATTTAAATACAACATACAGTATGTTTTATTCAATCTCGGTTTTCATCATTGGTAACCCAGTAACAAGAATGGGCATGTATAAGGTCAGTGTGAAGGGTAAACGTGTAGGGACTTATTGGCGAGTTTAATTAGCCAKAAACCAAGAACGTTACAAGAAATCTGGTGTTTTTGGGCAATATCTCGAGAACGATGTACTTTGAGCGAAGAGACTTTGATATCCTAACTACAGCTCGAATTGAGGATAACACATATTTTTTTAATCCCTTTCAAGCTTGCTATCTTTGCAAGGGTCTTTTGATAAACATGTATGGTCCACTTTTGAAATAGAAGATATGCCATTTTTTGGTTTGTTGAGATGGGCTGTATTTAATACAGCTTTCTTAATAAATAATTTTGGAAATAATACTTCTGCTTAGACATGTAAGTTTTGAAAATAAAACCAATAGCTGAAATATGCATTGTGTATAATTTTATAAAATCGACGCAAATGCCTTAGTTTGTTTGGCTGATTTTAAAACCCTGGTAAACTAGTCACTTTACGTTTGATCATTTTCTAGATGTCACAACACACATTGTATAGATTTTTTGCAAAAATTAAGAACTGTATTGACTTCACATGATTAGCATGATTGTGATTTAAGATTGTTTTTCAGTAACTAACTTATTTAATTAACTTGAACCTTAGACGAAATATTTAATAATCTTTTGAGATTATATATTTGTTTGATTCTCAATGAGATTAGTGTAATAGAAATTACATGTTTCAAAACAGTACTTTATCATTTCAAACGAGCCTAGTAGTACGTCGTTAGTACTTTATCATTTTGATATCTCCATTTGCTACATACTGGGAAATAAATATATTATGAGAAGAGTAAAAATTGATTCAAAGTAGTACATTGTAAACAGGAAACTGTAAGAAAGGAACCAAAACTGACTGTTGGTTGACGGTTGAAGAAGCGTAAAAAATATAGATTCTATCAGAAAAGACCACAATATTTGCACGCCGATGTTTTTGATTTAATATAAAAAAAATATTTTGCTCCAGTTTACATTGTGTTGGTTCCTACGCTTCCCATGAGGCTTTGGTTTCCATAGGAATCTACTATGTCTAACCTTTATCTTGATGCGATAACGGACTATCTGAAGTCACTAACAGTTCAACTATCCCATTATCAAGAAATAGTTGACGAAGTTGCTCTAAATAAACTTTGTCTGGCTGAAATTCATCTCCGGCTTCTTGGTTACCATATTCATTCTCCACTTGAAATGCTATGACGGGTCCACCCTTAGTAAATTGAAAAGCTGCGAGAAGGGTCAATAGTATGTTGAAATACCTTCGAACAAAATGACATAACTAGTTAAATCACTGGCTGGAAGAATGAAAAATTGGAAACAAAATGTTTCTGGGTGTGAAACAAACGCGTCTCACCTTGTGACATATTTCATGTAGGTTGTCTCGGACGTTCGAAACGCTATAGATTTCTCCCGCAAGAGCCAACTTGGAAATCCTCCAAAGTTGTATTCGGAACAAATGTATGGGCCAGTACGAAGGATAACGAACAAATCTTCTTCTTTTGCGGTATTTAGAAACTCCTCCAGGTGCAAGAAGTCCTCGAAGTCCGAACCGCCATTCCCAAAGTCGTATTTGCCTGTGCAAGATACTCCGGAATGCAAATGGAAACATTTTATTTAGAAGGGCTTTACCTGATTGTGGTTCGTGAAGATTCCATGGCACGTATGTCTCAACAGTATTCAGACCAGCGGCCCTAATTTTTCTCAACCTATCCCTCCAGTACGGTCTGGGCACCCGAAAATAGTGCATAGCCCCACTATAGACCCGAATGAGTTTGTCATTTAAAGTGAAGAAACTTTGGTCTGCATTTAAACCCTGCCTAATGCCATCAGCTGTGAAATATTCATAGTTTGTAGGCAAAGATCCTGAAAAACCACCACTACCACCAATGAGGGCCATTTTGTAGGATTATTTGTGAATAAAACATTTTTGAATGTTTATAGTTTTATATTTTGGTTGAAATCTGTTCAAGAGCTGGGTAAACACTTCAACTAATGACGGCAATAAATAGAAATCTTGAACGTACTATACAGGGTTAGCAAGAATTGAGAATTTATTTATTTTGGTTGTTGGATGAATTGGAAGTAAAACAGGATTTAACAACACGCGTAAATAATTCAAATGCTATTACAAAATTGTTCCGCCCCATCAATCAGTAGAAGTTCACTTAACAGATAGACAAGAAGAATATTATTTATTTTTTAAAGATTTTGCCAAACTTGTTTCATAAAAAAAACACAGGTATTAGTACTTCTTTTCCGTGCGAGAGATTATTTTCCAAAGCGGGTGCTATCATAAACGAGTTGTTCGAAATGTTGATTAATTTTTAACTGAAAATTATCTTAAAAAAAAAACATTTTCGCATGCAATGCGCATATTTTGTTTAAGCCATTCGATTTTATTATCCGTCTTTTTCCTTTCAGTAGTTACTTATGACCCATGTTATGTTTTTGTTTTTAGAATATATTATTTGTAGTTTACCAATGCTAAGAATTATTTAAAAAAATAAACTCAGTCATTGCTTTTCATCACTATTTCTACCATCATTATCATTGCGAATTTTTAAAGTAATATAAAATTAAAAAGGAATATGTTATTTATGAAACCTCATTTTGGAACATAATACCAAAGCGGAACTGGAACGTTGTAACGTTCCAGAAAAATAACCGTTTAGCACACGTCTACTGCACGGGCAAATACTGATCTCACCGTACACTATGGGTAAGGTGGGAGCTGACACTAAAATTGAGTTCGCAAAAAGTAAAAAAATAGCCTGAATAAAAAGTGGTCAAGACCGCATTTTACCAAGAAACACCACTAAGAAGAAAATTTTTGCTTTTTATAAACATGAATGATTATTTTTCATACAAACTGAGTAAAACACGTCCAAACACGTCATCTACCTTATCAATAGTTTTGCTATAACTGTATGGTGCGTCTCGTAAGTCATAACATTAATACTGATTGATTATTACAACAAAATTTGGCGTCTATTGCAAAAAGACTAAAAATTAACGAATTTTTTTAACGGTTTATTTTTTGGACCAACCATGTAGATGAACATTTTTGTCAAAACGATCTCTTATTTAAGTGCATCTGATAACATAAATAATTTATATATCTCTAGTATCTTTTCAAGTTTAATGTTTGTTAAAAATTGACATTTACGATAACCATTAGTAAGTAATTTAATATCAGTACCTATATGCTGTTAACCACCAAAACAACGTAAATTGGTATAATTAATCATTTAGCTCAACAAACATATCAGATTCAGACAGAGATGTTTTAAATTAAGTTTTGAGAAGGTCTTTTCACATACCAAATAACGTTGTTATGAACCCTTACAGAAGGAGTGCATATTTTTAGCTATGTCAGGGTGTCTTTCACGTTGGCAACCAATTCCTAACTTTACAGCCTTATTATTTCTACCTCTAGGTCATCTTTAACGACCTCGTAATTGAGAGCGGCTTTAATTAGAAGATCAAAATAACGAACATTTAGCAATGTTTAGGTTTCCGATGAGATCACATTTACTAGCAATAGGGTAAACACGGAAGAGTTTCCTGCAAATATTATTACTGAGTGTTTCAGGAAGGAAGGAATCGTTAACGAGCTACTTATGATTTCATATGAGAGTATACTGTCATTGTTTTACTTATGCATTTAAGGAAGCGGGTGTGTACAAACTGAAGAAAATCGAATAACAGGGGTTGCAAACTTGTGTTAAAGTGTGCATGATCGGAGTTGAAGTTTAGTTTTTCAGACTGATACGTGGCTGAAACAATTCAAGTGATTATTTAATTCAATAATGTTGAAAAATATTTATTCGCTCTTATCTTTTTAAGTTTCAACTTCGAAACGTACAGAACAAAGCGCTTTAATGCTATACACCACACCCGCAAATTGTCAGATCAGAAAATCGGAGATCATGCCTGGGCAAAGGATTTGTGCTTATACGGAGGCATTTCACAAATCTGGTATAATCCCTATTCCCATTTAAATCAAATCTAAATCCCCTCGAATGTGATGCTTAGAACACATAAGCCGGCGCTACGTCGAGACCGGATGCCGTAACATGTATGGGAACATGATCTGGAAAGATGTTAATGCAAATACTTAGAGCGAGAGCGGAAAAAGTTTGTGGAAGCTTCATTGATTACTGGAAGTAATTCGGTGTCCAGTCATTCTATTGCCCAATTCGTTCAAACGCCAACTCTAAATCATACTGTAAACGATAAAATTGATGTTTTTTTTCTGAGTACAATCAGATGCTATAAATTATTGTTCAGATTCGTCTATTTTGTATCCGACATATATCCGACTTTTCGGAAGGTCGTTTGAAAGCGATGTGTAGAGAAAAATATAAACGTTTTCTAGAAGGATCTTTTATGCAAGCAAATAGAACGTTTAGCTTTTGATGTTACTGAATATCAAACGAGTGCAAATTTAAATAACGTTTGGTGAAATCTTTAGCTAACTCGTTAAACTCGACTTTATTTCGTGCAGTCGTCTTTGTGGTAAAAGCAAACTTTTTAAAGTTTAAGGTAGGTATTCTATCACATCTTTAAATGTTAGAGATTTTGCTGCTGAGCTGGAAGTATGAATACTTATATAAAATTACCAGTACTCGAAGGACAAATTTGAACAGTGCTATACGTTTAATCTTAGCTTAGGGTAAAAGTTTTAATAACTGAACATTTTCAGCGGTAATATTTATCTTCCTCCGGTTAACAGCGGTTGGCGGGAAGTTAGAACATCAAGTTGATATGTATTGTTTCAAAGTTTGGAAAGAAATTTGACACATTATTTTGTTCGTCAAGCACAGGTCCAAAAGTCAAGCAATTTAGAGCAGTGAGTCAAGAAAATATATTAAAAACTATAAATAACATTTGAGTCATGTCACTGGGTAAAAACTTATATCAGTCGCTCTTCGTAGATGGTTCAACTTTTTTCATTTTCCCAAGATTTAATTCTTGCTGTGAAATACTGGCATTATGGCTCTGGATCTCGAATTATTTGTCATCGTCACATTATATTAAAGTAACATATTTGACGAGCAACATGCCTTTGTGCGGACGGCTTATCTCAAAATTACTTTTGCGAAGCTCGAGGAAATAATTTGAACGTGCCGAGGTGATTCTTTGCTTTCCCGTTAAATTGATCGATTGCTAGCTCGGTTCGCGTTTATAACCGAATTTTTAGCTTCTGCTATTTCAGTCAGTAATTCACGTTTCCGAAATGATCGGGGATTAAGTAGCAATATAGGTTTTAATCGATTCTATTTGGCTTGCTTGCTTGTTCGGGGATGATTTTTGGTACTGATCTTGGGTTTAAATGACTTGAAGAAAACGATGGCATCAGCTAGCAAAATACGGAATTTGGAAGTTTCAGTAATATTTTCGAAGAGAGATTTAAATATCTAGATCTTAGGGAGTTATTTATGTACATTTCCGGAAACATCAGGCAAATTTATGTTAAGTAATTGCTAGAACTGACACGAAATATGTATATAATAAACTGAAAGAGAATATAATCCAAATCCTTAATAGAAAAAAGTTTGAATATCTTTTGCCTAATCATCCTATAAAAGCTTAAAATCGCTATTGGAAGAAGATACGGAATTTGTCGGAAAAAGCTACCGCAATTTCTTTGCCTTCGATAATATTCATCACAGATTCGAGCGAATCGTCAGGACTCAATTCTAATGGTCAAACTTTTCAATCGAACTTTGAAACAAAAATTACTGGAAAATTTTTGAAATTTTATATAACGTTTTGTTGACTTCAAACTTCAATACTTATGGTTTAAGAAAAAGCCAATCGACAAAATTGGTTGCATTGGTGCAAGCGAAAGAAACTCTCTCTTTCGACATTTATAATTTATGCTGCATAATATCCGGATACGAAACATCGAGATTATCGTGCGATCCAAGGGTGAAAAGGATGCTTTGCAGATATAGTGGGAAGTGAAAACTTTGCAGATTCAATGCATGAGAAAGCAGAGCATCATTTATAGACGAATGTCGTCCGGGTGAATTATTAAGCATTAAATATCAGACTTTAACGTGGTACAGAATGCTCATAAGGAGTCTGCCTTCACATCTGACCGGAATTACTCAACAAAATTAATTTTATCATATTATTTGGCATGTTTTCGCGAAGCTTGCGGAATCCACATGTTAATCGCGCGTATTTATAACAAAATGTTTAAAGAAAATTTTTAAAGTTGTTTATTAGTGAAAATTGGGAAACACATTTTCTGAAATGAGTCAAGTGAAAAACATCGAAAATAACACAGCCAAAGTAAGACATCTGAAAATCTATGTGGAATTCCATTAATTCTTGTCTTAAGCAAAGCCTTTAAACCTAGGCTCGATTAATTTAATGTAGACAGAATTATTATAAGTATAACAATACATGCGAGTCATCGGAATTAACTTAGAACGAACGATGGCTATGTTTTACGTCAGAAACTTTTTCATAGAATTCAATTAATCAAATATTACGATTAATTATTTAACGTGTATATAGATAAGGCTTAAAAATAATGTGAATGTAAATCACGCTCATTATTTCAATAATCTATTAGAACTTTTGTAGACAGAAATCGAACAGGGTTGGACTTTATAAGCCTGTTATTCTAATCTCTAAGTATCATCTAGATTTAATCTAATAAACTTGAATAAGCGAAACCTGAAAACTGAATTATACATGACAAAAAAAAATCGATTTACAAACCTGCAAGGTATAGCTCATTTGAATGTCACTGAATATTCACCATAGTTGCATTGTCATTTCATATTTAGATTGAACTTTCGAAAAGCGGCATTAACCCTGTCGGTTTTTGTAATCCTGGCAATTATTAGGCGTTAGCCAACAGCAATTTTGAATTAACCGTGAAATAAAGAAGTAAATTAAAGTTTTTAGTCACACATTTTTGAACGGAGTTTA